GCGGGTCCTTGAAAATTTCTCACTGTAAAATAAACCCATTTCGAGATATTTTTCTATCTATCTATCTGTATCCCCCCCCCTCCTATCTACTGTGCTCCTCCCCATAAGACCTACCGCCTCCTCCATTTCTCGTTCATTCTGATCTCTTTCACGATCGTCTTACAGTCATCTGGAAATCTCTGTAGTAGAATCCAGATAAGTCGGTGACTTCCGAGTCGGCACTCGATTATAATTTGACATTTTTTGATGCACTTGAGTATAATGAGGGGTAGAGATTCGATTAGCTTGAAAATTTAAGCAAAGTTTACATCTGGTACGTTTACTTGTAGATACAGCACAGTTTCGGTAAACTCTGACGAAACTTCACAGGATCCAGACGACAAGTCCTTAGGACGAGAAGGAGAGTAGAGCAGAATATGTTTTCGGGTTTATAATATTCTGGCAGAACCTTATTTCGCAAAGCATCCCCCAACCCATGTTTAACTTTGAAAAGGTGACGACATCTTAGATGAAATTTTGACAAGAATTTCATTGAAGTCCGATCTTTCCTTTCCTTTCTAGTGATATTTTGCCAGCCACCATCTTCTTCGAGCATCCACTCTGAAAAGCTCAAGCTCCCGTCCTAGCCTTCTCAGTGCGGTGCTCCGGTGCTCCGGTGCTCCGGTGCTATTCCGGTCTGCTCCATGACGCGCCGCATCGCCCTTTATAAAAATGAAGCTCCTTCCTGCTTGAAAATAGCCTGATCCTGAGGCTCTTGTTCTGATAAAGATACCGCACGAGGAGAGACCCTAGAATCCCTTTCGACGAATCCCACGTGCTCCGCAGCCCAAGGGATATTTACCTCTTTTATCCTTTTATATCCTTTTGCTAATCAAGCACGGATTTCCTTCAGAGGGTTTCATTTATTCCTGGAATTGTTTCAATGATGATGCCACCAGCGAGCGACTCCCGTAAATTAGTAGAAACGTGCTGCGGCGAATCGGGCAGCCAAACCGATTGGATTCCAGACTCGTCTGACCCGGGATTAGTCTGTAAATCACGAAAGTGGCAAGTTTCATAAGAGTAAAGTCGATTTCCATTAATTTCCTACTTGTCATATACCTCAAGGGTGTACTTTCGTTCTACCGGGAGTATTCAAACTTGAGCTAAAGATTATACAAGTTGATGAAATGGATAATGAGAAAAGTCCGATTGCCGCGCACATAGATACTATCAAAAAAGTAAACACTCTGGACGGCGCTCCGATTATCTTTTCCGAAAAGGAGATTAGCAAGAGGCCAAAAAATGGCTACGGTATAAATATTTATAATAATTAGGAAAGTTCGGGTGACTGTCGTTAAATGGAAATAAGACTTTCCCCTGCACCAATTATTCTTATAAAACGCTTTATAAAACTCGCGGAAAGTAATGAGTCGTAGCAGCTGCATGCGGCATGTAGATAACGTTTCGCATGGCTACGCGTAGACGCCGCAAGAAAAGTGGAAATCTGGGGAAAACGCTGAAGCCGGAAAGAGAAATCCGGAAGTCCGTCCGAAGAAGGTTACCTCGTCTCTCAAATCCGTTTACGGATTTCCGCGGAATTTCAGCCGAGCTTATAACGCTTGTGGGTACCGAGGCATTTACCTGGGAAGTTAATCTCGTCCGTGTGAATTCGATTCGGCTGCTGCTCCTTCGCTCGGTCCTCCAGCTGCAGCTTCACTCTTACTTCCACCTGCCGCGTCATTCCGATTTCAGCCGGAAGACTGGATAAAGGCAGAAAGTAAAGTAATTCAATAATAACCGAAATCAAGTGACTACGCAGCCGTGCAATTCCGGGGTAATTTCCCGTAAAGCCTCGCGCCACCCATCGGCTGACAATTTTACTTCCATTTACTTGGATCATCAGCAGCAGCGCAGTGCATAACAGGTACAGCACCTTCGTGCAAACCCATAACTCTTTTCAGCTACACAACCGTGTGTTACGGATCGCTAATTACGATATAACGATTTGTTTCACAAACCTGTAAAATAATAATATATAATTACAATATACTATTAACCATACCAAATAACGTTAGTCTGGCAGATTTTAGTACCGCTGTTGATATAATTGAATATCATATTCCCCGAGTGATTGATATTCCTCCGGCATCATGCCGTGGCACGATTTCCATTTCGAAGAATAACGACGGATGTCAGCCGTTAACGATACCGTTCAAATTCCTCCCATCATCCATAATAATTCCGATTTAGTAATATCGGTCTGCGAAGCTTCCCTTGCGTGGGCACCGAAATCCTCGAGAGAGAATTTCCCAAAAAAAATAAAATCTCCAGCTTAAATGGCAGTCGCTAATTTGAAAATAAGAAAAACGTTATCTGATGTCGACGGCAATCGATGGCGGATGCGGAGG